ATTTTTATCAACTTACTTTATTTTGTTCGGAAGCTAGAGAGACTTCCACAGACTGACAGACGGACATTGCTAAATCGACATAGAATGTCAATGTGGTTCGAGCAAATGATACAGAAGAAGCCACTAGTGACTGGGCCAGCACTTATGGAAAAGGCTCAACAATTTAGAAAAAAACGGCAATATTAATTTTAAAATACGCCAGAACGAACGTGCTTCTACGGACACTGAGTCTGTAACAAATGTCAGGAAATATATTTTGGCTTCATTATTGGAAAAATATGCGTCAGAGGACATCTAAAATGCAGAAGAAATTGGGCTCTTCTATAAAGCACTGCAAAATGAATGGTGTGGTTATGGAGGTCAATAAGTTAGAGGAGTCCAGACACCAAAAGACCGAATAACATCGGGGCGGGGCCTTGCTAATGTAATATGACATCCTTGTCACGGCAAAGATTATAATCCTAAACTTTGATATAAATTAACAGACATTGCTCTTCGAGTGTAGCTGACAATAAGATGAGCATTATCTAACAGCAGCCACTAAACTTAACGCAGCCGTCAGGCGGTCACAGCTGTTTTTCATCAATTTTAAAAGCATTACTTGGCATTTTACTAAACTCAACAGTTTCGCAGGCAGTTGCTAGTTGTCTGTATGTCTGTCTGTCAGTTCGTTTGTCGAGCAATCATACCCAACGATGGCAGCATCAGCTGCGACGACTGCGACGTTCCAACACATTCATCAATAGTGGGAAATATTGAAAAACAATGCTGCCACCTACCCAGGCAAGGAAATCCTAAAACAATTCACTATTTTAGGTTGATGGCAGCGACTGCTGCTTCGTGTATCCAACCATTGGATCTCCTTTAAATCATCAATGATATAGACCAACTGTTCTGAAATGCAGGAGAGAAAAAAAAAACACAAAATAGATGAGGCACATGCTGCGACGACAATAAACGCCAACAGCTGAATTTGAAAACAACAACAACAAAAAATGTGTTTGCCTCGAACTGTTTCATCTCCAGAGAAATTTCTGAAATTTATTCAATGATGATAGCGGACTTTTTTCACAACAAGCGAAGAGTGTGTGCCGACGAGGAAAAAAACGCAACAATAATAAAAATGGCAAAATAACAGAACAACTAACAAAGACCAGACACCGCCGCTCGCAATTGAAAAGAATGAATATTTTCATTCCCACCATTCATGTGCCGTCCAGGCGTATTGAAAAATGAATGTTTTTCGAATAACAACAAATTCATTCTTCATTCATTGTTTGTTTTAGAAACACTTAAATGTAGGAAGTTAATTAAAAAGGCACGATGAAGCTACGACGGCGTAGGCAAATACCAGAAACAATTTGGTTTTAATTGAGAGAATGATAGAAAAAAAGCGTTTTTGTTGAAGAGGTTTATTGAAATATGCGTTTTTGAAAAGATCCGACAAGTGCGTCAAAGAGTTCAGGAATTGTCTAAGTTTTTTGAAAATTAAAAGTCTGTCAACTGCAAGATTATAACCGGAGCATTATGTTGGTCATACCAAAATTAACTCGTTTGAAGAAGCCTCAAAATAGGAAATTTCAGAACTGAAAATGGTAACGGTTTCCGAGCTAATTAATCACTTATTTTAACCCCCTCTATAATTATTTCTCCTGACACTCAAAATAGCCCAATTAATTCACTTATATGTATATAAGCTGGGCGGAGAACCTATAACAGTGCCAGCAAAGCTAAACTTGGTATTGATTGGAAGGCTTAAACGGCAGACTTTAATAAGTACAAAAATGAGCTAACGAAGGCTAAACGTACAGGGCGAGAAAAAAAACTGCAACAAAGTCATACGCCATAATTTTTACATCTTTTTAATTTTATTGAATGAAAAAAAAGACGGAAATAGTACCAAATTTTAGAATAAGTTTAGATTGGCTCGAATTGGTTGAAACCGTCAAACGCTGCCCGAATGTTGTTATGCTGTATTTTAGCCCATTCCATTCCAGATAATATAAAGCCGATGTGATTGAATGAAAGTTTTCGAATAAAAATGTTCGTATGTCACAATCTTTTCTCCGTCCATTTATGAACTTCGCATTTCTATAAGAGTACCTTACACCACCGACCATCCATCAATTTAAAAGATCGGATCCAATACACATCCCGACCCAGCTATAAACTAGGAGCATCAGTTCGCACTTTGGAGCGGCTCCAGTAGGATATCGGTCATCTGGGTTTTATACAAGATTTGAAAGAGAGAGCTATGAATGGATTCGAGAGTAACGTTGTTAAAGGCTCCAAAAAGGCAGACTTTAATAAGTACAAAAATGAGCTAACGAAGGCTTAACGTACAGGGTGAGATAAAAAAACTGCAACAAAGTCATGCACCATAATTTTTATATATTTTTTTTAAATTTCATTAAATGAAAGCAAAAAATGTCGGAAATAACATCAAATTTTAGAATAAGTTTAGATTTGTTCGAATTGGTCACCTTTGGCACGAATTATGGCCTTCAAACGGCCAATGAAACCGTCACACGCTGCCCGAATGTTGCTCTGCAGTATTTTGACCCATTCCCGGCGAAGCGCTTGCTTGAGGTGATCGACACTTTGGTATTTTTTAGTGCCAACCTTGCTTTCCAAAATACTCCAGACACAATAGTCCAACGGATTAGTATCCGGAGATTTTGGTGGTCATTGTACGCTGGAAATGAAGCGAGGAACCTCATTTTGTAACCATTCTTGGGTGTCGCGTGTTAAGTGGGATTGTGCTGAGTCCTGTTGGTATGTCCAAGGTCTGCGGCCAAAATGTTTGCGTGCCCAAGGCTTTAATACAGCCTCCAGAATATTTTCGCGATTATATTCGGCATTTATTCTGATGCCACGGTCGATTTATACGAGCGGAGAGCGACCATCGGCTGTTATGGCGGCCCACACCATCACCATGGCCAGCGCTTGAGTTCTGGTGGCCAACCGAAGGTGTACATTTTCAGCTGACCTCTTTGGCCTCTTTGGCAAGTAAAGATGATAATTTTGTTTGTTTACGAACTGCTGGACAACGAATGTTTTCTCAGCCAAGCGAAGCAATTTTGTAGCTCTCTTTAGTCTTTCTTCTTTCTGTTGCGGTGTAAGTTCTTGCACTTTTTGGAATTTCAATAGCTTTCCCCCGGGCTTATTTTTCAATATCTGCCGAATGGATATGTTCAGCTCACGAGCTATTTTTCGGCCACTGCGATGTCGGTTTCGATCAAGTCGCTTCTTTACTTTTCGAATTCGGAAGTGCCGTTATATGGGGTCATGTAGGCGTGGACCTACACGGCTCATTTCTAATACCAAAAGTCATGCGGACATAATATACATTTGAGTAAATTTTCATTAACCTACTTCATTTCGTTCATAAGCTAAAGTGATTTCCACAAACGGACAGCCGGACGGATATCGCTAAATCTACATAGAATTTTATGCTGATCAAGAATATATATATATTTACTTTGAATTGTGGGTTCTAAAAACCTATTTAGAGAATCAGATCTTCTTCGCTGCACTGTTCATTTTTTTCTCGAGTGTAAGGCAAACGCACAACAAAACAAATCTTTCAATAAAATCAGCTCAAAAGTTCCAATTTTTGTTTTTGTTGGTTCGTTTCTGCTGTAATCAAAGTTCCTGTTTGGCAAACTTCAACATCTGCTGCTTGCACAAATTGCCTCATTGCATTTTATCGAAGAATTTCGTTGGTTGTTGTTGCTGCTATTGTTCTTTGTTGTTCGTTCATTCGTTCGTCCGTTTGATTGTTTGTTTAGTCATTTGTGTGTTTGTATTAATGGAGTTGTAAATGATTGTTAACCCCTCCTCGGCCGGAATAACAAAACAATGGCAGTATTGCATTTATTGCCTTCAATCAGGCAGGCAGGCAAGCAGAGAAAGGGAGAACGGCTGGCGGACTGACTAGCTGGCTGGCAGTTAGTGGTGATGGTGGTGGCATATCGTGCAGACCGCGTGTGGTAGCAAGTGTTGCCGATTTGATTAGTCGGTTTGAATTTATGGCTTTAACTATGCGAATAATTCAGAGGAACCGAGAACGAATAAACAGCGAACATTGTGCCCGGGTAATCAGCCGCACTCACACCCAGATCCATACAAAACACACATCCATATTTAGTCATTTACTCCATTTGTGAAGGGATTTTCAGCAGCTGTTACCGCGACTGTTTATTGGTGGTTATTGCCATAGACCCAACTCCCGTTTACAAATTTGCTTTCACATTTGGAGCAGCAGTAGCGTTTAGGCATTATTTCTCATGGATGAGGAGGTGCAGAAGGTTTGAAGGGGGGAGGTGTTCAATACCCACATTTAATTTACTCTTTTTGACAACTTTTTCACATGCAAATCGGCAGACAACACAGCTCCTCTTCTCCCCTCCGTCCGCCCTCGTCGTTACATTAGGAGAAACGTCATCAGCTTTACATTTTCTGCGGAACATGGCAAACGTCATGTCCATTCCGCTTTTGGTGATAATATCGACAAATTGTAGAGTTCGGGAAAAAAAATTGTAATATCCATGTGTGAGTGTGTGTGTGTGCGCGCGCAGATTTGTTGCCTGAGAACATTTCGGTCTGTGGACAGATTGATTTTTGGTTGGGTTTGTTTGTTGCATGTCAGACACTAATTCCCGGCATAAATAAATTTAAATGCTTTTTGGAAAGGTAAACAACAACAGCAGCTCCCTACTAGTGTGTGAGTGGTGTGTGTGTGTGTGTAAGTGAGTGATGGTGGCTTTTAATAATGTGAGAAATTCATCACTTGCTGATTGAATATCATGGCTCGCTCTTTGTTTGTTATTATTTTCCATTTATTCATTCATTTGTTCGTTCGCTCGCTCGCTCGGTCATTGTTATTATTATTGTTATTATTAATGTTAATATTAAGTTGCTGCTCCACACGAAGGGTGCAAATTGGTGTCCAATAATAATTGGTATTTGTTTTATTTTTTCCTTCCCATTTTACACAGATGGCTCTCGACGGCAAAACAATCATAAAAGAGGAAATAACAGACAAGGACGCCTATGAGGCAGCAGCATCCGCAGCAAATTCCACACGCAGAAATAAAGGTGAGTAACAATGTCAGATTTATAATATGTGTTTGAACTTAAATGCTTGGGCGCCATTTCCATTCTGGGTACTACAGCCTATAACAAAAAATTACATATGCATGCCTACATCCCCGTATATCCCTCGTATAACGGTACCTCCCAATATTCGGCATTTGTATGATTTAAGAGAAATTATAGACCATAATTGTATTAAATTTCGTACTTCAAGTTGGGAATCGACACTGCAGCCTATGACAAAAAAATACTTACACGTCTTCATATAGCCCTTATAAACGGTATTCATTTAGGCGGTATTTTTTGGATTTTTTTTAACTTTTCAAGTTCCTTTCAAATGGTGGAGGATATTAAAAGTTGTACTACTTCATTAAACATCAAAATGCATTTTGTCCAAACATGACAGTTTTATATACTTGGTTAATAGTAAAAATGCGATTATATAGAGCAGTACCACAAAGAAAATATGGAGACCCACAATTGTATTCTGCCATCATTTGATACGGCCAAAGCGTGTATCATCGAAATAACGGTTAAAGGCCCTAGGTCTCTTTAGAACAAATCCGTTTCAGGACATTTGGAGTCGATCTAGCTATCTGTCTGGCTAGCTAATGCGAACGCTAACTCTCGAAGGGAGTATCCCATTTAGTCCAAACATGGTACATCGTAATATTATTGTCAAAGTTAGATCAAATTCGGAGATGGAAAATATAGGTCCACCAATTTTGTTCGAATTTTTAAAATTCCAATATTTTTGTCCGCGGTAGGTCAGGTGCGAAAATGAAAATTGTCGGTCCACTCCAGCATGTACCTCCCTCACAAAATGTCATTATTTTGATTAATTTTAATTCTTATAAAATCTGATGTCAGCGTCAAAATGGACAATGTTGACCCATCACCCTTCGGAGCCTCCCTTTAAGGTCAATAGTTTGAATAATCATAACGCAAGTCAAAATATATTTAAATATTAAGGATCATTGTCGGCAAACCCTTCTGATATTTCTTAACATTTCTAATTAGCAAGTAGTAGGTATAGAAGATTGTGAGTTGGAGATTCGGTATTGGTACAAAAAGGATTGAGAAAAGTTTGTAGATATACCAAGTTTGAAAAGAATAGCCGACTTGTTTCGCACATTATTACAGATATAAGTGTTGCAAACCGAGAAAATTTGTGTGAGAGGTACCAAAAGGGGTAAGCCAATATCTATCGATTTCACATCGGAACTTGCTTTAGTAAAAATATTGGGATACAAGAAACTTAAAAAAATCTGACGCTTAAAATATTTATTGGATATAAAATTATTCAAAATTATGACCCGTTGTTGGGGAGGTACCAGAAGGAATGGTCCATCTTCACATCACATCTTATGGGGGAGGTCCTAGATGGAATGGGCCGATATTGTCCATTTTCGCTTCTGACCTGAGTCTCTGTAGTCATATGGCTGAAGTTATAATAAATTGAAATGTTCACTGCAAATAAAATATTTAAAAATAGAAAAACATTGGTTAAAAATCCGTGATTGCAAGTCCTTGAAAGATCTAAAATTTTCCTCCGAGAAGACCTTTTAAAATATTTGTTTTTATTTACGATTTTAGTCCGGGAAAGCTTATTGAGACATTAAAAATGCAGCGATTGTATGCCGGAAAATATATTAAAACGAGATAGACAGATAGTTCCTTTTGATGATCTGCATAGAATCACATTCTGAGTCTATTTATGCATGACCGTCTGTCCATGTATTTTTTTGAACAAAGTACAGTTCGCAAGGACGAACCCTATTGAAATTGGAGATAATCAGTAAAAAAACAGTAAAGAAAGTCATAAAGTCAGCCGGGGCTGACTTTATGATACCCTACACCACTTTGCTAATTTAGTAGAGCTCCACATAATAATTAAAAGTTTTTATGGGAGAAATCAATCATATACGCTATGATTATAATTATAATTTAAAGTTCAAAGGATTAAATATGCCGAAGCATTTGTATCTTTTAAATTCGGACTTGTATTGCCCATTTGGTGCACAATTAATTTGAAATCGGATAAAGATATATATGGGAGCTATATCCAAATCTGATCCGATCTCGAAAAAATTTGGCAAAGATATTTCTAAGCTGTATTTGATATATTTCCCGGAAAATCGTCGTTACAGAGTGCATATTACGGCTGTGGGTAACAAATATAAAAAATCGGATGAAGAGTATATATGGGAGCTATAGCTATATCTGAACCGATCTTCACCAAATTTGACATACTAGCTTCTAGACTAGACGGTCATAAGTGCCAAATTTCATCCAATTTGGACAAATATTAGACGTTTGGTGCACAATAAAAGGTAAATCGGACGAAGTTATATATGGGAACTATATCCAAATCTGAACCGATCTCGATAAAAGTTAGCAAATGTATTTCTGAGCTGTATTTGATAAATTTCCTCAAATATTGTTGTTACAGAGTGCATATTACGGCTGCGGAGGACAAAAATAACAAATCGGATGAACAATATATATGGGAGCTATAGCTATATCTGAACCATCAAATTTGGAATACTTATTTTCAGGTCCAATCTGATCGTACGTGCAAAATTCCATGCTATTCGGACTGATAATACACGTTTGATGCACAATAAAAAGCAAATCGGACGAAGATATATATGGGAGTTATATCTAAATGTTTACCGATTATCTCCAATTTCAATAGGGTTCGTCCTTGGGCCAAACAAATGATCTGTGCAAAATTTCATCTGGGTAGGGCAATAAATGCGAACTGTACTTTGTTTACAAAAATACATGGACAGACGGACGGGCAGACATGCATAAATCGACTCAGAATGTGATTCTATGCAGATAATCAAAAGGAACTATGGGTCTATCTCGATTCCTTTTGCCTGTTACAAGACATAATACCCTGACCACCTTGTGGTGTAGGGCATAAATATTATTTAATCGGTTGATTTACAGCTATAATTCCCATAAAAAGACGTAATATCCGTTCCATAGCAATGATTTTCGGTAAAAGATAGCAGATTCAGGTCAGAAATACCGCTGCCAAATTTCGGTTCAGATCGGTTATTTATTGTTATATACATATAACATATACTATACTATTATAACATTACGCAGTTGACAAAAATCACTTCTTAAAGCCAACCCTTTTAAAACCACTCTTCTTTTGTTGTTTTAATGAACAAACCCGAAAAGATTATTAAAATTCATATTTTTGTAAATTTTAGCAATTTAAATTACACAAAAAATTGTAATTGTCAATAACAATTTAATTTTCATGTAAAACATTCTTAATAAAAATTCTACTTACAATTTACACAAAAACATTGCCACTTTAGAAAGATCCAAAGAAAGAACACATTTTCAATTTATGTCTTTATTCTGTTCAAGTATTTGTGATTAAAAAAAAAAAAAAAACAAATACCAAGCTACAGCCCATTTAAATAACTACAGTGGGACCTCACAGTATTTGAAAACATTCTCGATTATTTTGAGCACAAATGTTCTTGAATTTATTGAGGTACATTGTTAATAGCAAAATATCGAAAAAAGCACAAGACAAAGGTTCCACTATATTCGAAATCAAACACAATCTTAAATGGAAAACCAAAGAAAAGGACGAGAAAATCCTTCTTCCATGAGAAAAAACAACTCTTGTAATAAATATCTTTAAAAATTGACCAAAGGAAATTTTACATTTTGCTCTAAAATCTCTTGTATGTATTACTTGTGTGCCTGTCTGTCTGTGTGTCAGTGGATGTATTTGTTTGTGTGCCGAAAAATCTTTGTTGACATGTCCATTAGACACTTGAAATTTTCTAATTAAAATTGTTTTTTTGCTGAACTGAAGAAAATACCATTTGCAAATGTTTAACAATTAAAACATTTTAAATGTGTATGTCGATCTTTTTTACATCTTCTTCGTTTTCTTTTAAATACAATCCCTTTCGTTGTTGTTCGTCTGTCCGTCCATCCGTGCGCCTGGTTGTTTGTTTATTTGTTTTGAAGAAATTTATTCAAATGGTTATTTGGTTTTAGTACAAATATTTTGTTAACATTAAAAACATGCAAATAGAAATGCTATTTAAAATATTTAAGGATAATAAATAAAATACACTCGAGGAAAAACCTATGTTGAAATAAGTAAAATAGCAGCTAAGTTTGTCCAGGCCAAACTTTTAATACCCTACACAATTTAAATAATGACCTTTATACGGGGGCTATACGAAGATGTGGACCTGCATTAGTAATTCTTTGTCATAGGCTGTAGTACCCATTTAAAATCAATTCATAATACCGAATAAAGGGAGGTACCGTCATATGGGGGCTTTACGAATATGTGGATCTTCATACGAAATTTTTTGACATAGGACATACTACCCGTTACGAACTTTGAATACGAAAATTGAAACAATTCGGGTGAATATAGGGAGGTACCGTTAAATGGGGGCTATACCAAAACGTAGACCGACAGGGGCCATTTACGAACTTAACCAGCCATATTGGTTCAAAATTGTAGTATTCTAATTCATTCGAAAAATAGCTTGATTACAACAGACCGACAGACAGACGGACATCGCTAAATCGTCTTCGAATTTTACACTGATCCAGAATACATATACTTTTTAGGGCCTATTAAGAATATTCCGAGGAATTACAAACGGCATGACAAAGCAAATATACCCTACATAACATGGTGGAGGGTATAATAAGTAAGGAGGAGGAGTTTGGGGTATAAGGCCTAAAATTAATTTCTAGTGTTGTGATCGACCAGAACTTAGACAAAAAGCACAAAATAGAAGAGGTTAAATGAATAGTCTTATAGTTTTATCATCCAATACGACAAATTGCTCCTTATAGACACAATGGTTTTAAACCCCAAGTGTCTTTGGATAAGGTGCGTTGTAGAACATTTGGATTTGATCTGCATAATTCTTGAATGTATCCGATTTGATCAAAACTTGTTTCATCGCATAATTATACCCTTAGCCATATGGCTA